GAGCTGGAGCCTTCGTCGAGGAGCAGCCACGCCCCGAGGAATGCGGAGAGTAAGGACGGAGGATCGCCGGCCGTCAAGCAGGAGCTCCTTCACCTGTCGCTCGCTCGCCAGGCCCTCGAGGCGGAGAAGGTGGGGGGGGGGATGTTGTTGTCTTTGTCACAGTGATTGTTATTATTATTAACATTATTGGTGGCATTTTCTGATGGTGGCGTAATTATCCTAGGACTGATGGATGGATAAAAAGTCATGGAATATAATTAGTCGCCATTTTTAATTGATTTATCATTGCCGCTATTTTTCTAAGCTGCCAGCATGTCAAATATAATGTTTTCTGTTTTTTTATGTAATTTGTAAGCCTAAAAATAGCATCGGATTCCAATTACAAACACACACACACACACACACACACACACACACACACACACACACACACACACACACACACACACACACACACACACACACACACACATCAAAACATCAGAAATAAGCCACTCCACTATCCTGAGTGGAGTGGCTCATCCTCCACTATCCTCCACATTCCGTCTTCCATTTTTTTCACCACGCATCTCAATCCACAGGGAGAACTGTCGCGACTTCTGGAGCAGCGAGAAGGAATCATAACCGAGCTGAGGAAGCAGATGCACCAAAGGGACAAGACGATACAGGCTCAGCGAGTCCAGTTCGAGGAAGCTTTGAGGAACAGCCAGGTAAGGAGGGTTGCAACATCACAGGCGTTTGGGTTCTTTGGTGTGATGGTGCAAGGGCCGGTGCAATGTTAAAGGCCCTTGGGTTCTGTAGTTATGTTGTGGTGGTGTTAAGGGTCTTTATAGAATTGCAAGTGTTGAAGTGTTCATGCAAGGGTCGTTACAAAATTGCAAGTGTTTAGGGGTTTCTGTAAGGGTCATCAAAAAGTTGCAAGTGTTTAAGTGTTTATGCAAGGGTTGTTACAAAATTACAGGCTTTGGGGTGGTTCTGTAGCCATTTTGTGGTTGTGTACGTAACAAAATCACAGGTATCTGGGTGGTTCTATTGTTGTGTTGTGGTTCTGAAATTAAATAGTGGTTATCCTTTTAAGATGTTGTTGTTGTTTGTTGATATAAGGATTGTAAATCTATTATATATGTTTGTGGTATGGTATTTCTGTATTTCTATACTGTATCAGTTTTATGATCTTTATATATAGCATTATAGTGAAATATGTTTGTTTATAGAAAGCATTGCCGAAATTTATGATTTGCTGTTGATTATTTACATTTATCCTTACATTTTCCAACACATTAATTAATACTAAAATACCTTCTGACAGAATTCAGTTATAAAAAAAATGTTTTATTTTACCAACATTCTCTCTTTGTCACACAGCTATGATTCCTCAGCATAGTCGGTTGGTCTCTGTTAGCTAATATTAGCATACATTTGCCTTTTTTCCCCACAATAAAAAATCATTTTCTGCTATCGTTGAAAAATCTCATCTGATATCCGTAATAAAATCAATTTTCTGTCGTAAAGAATCCCATTTTCTTTCATTGCGAAGAACTTTCCATTTTCTGCGATCGCCCAAAATTCCCATTTTCTGAGATCGCCCAAAATTCCCATTTTCTGTTACCATCCTGAAATCCATTTTCTGTCGTCGCAAAATTAATAAATAAATAAATAAATAAAATAAAATAAAAATCTCTCTTCGTCAAAAACTAACCATATTTTCTCGTCGCAGCAGAATGGAAAACGCGACAGTTCCGCCGCTCGCATGGCCATGTCGGGCGGAGCGCGGGAAGAACTGCAGTTGGTGCGGGACGCCATTTCTTCTCTCAGGAGTAATTTCAGGTGTGAAGAGTTTTGCTGTTGTTGATATTCATGTAGTGTTTGTTGTAGGTGTTTTATATAAGTCTTTTTTCTATTCTTCTGTTACTTTTTTCCCCGTTCATCTGGGAATTAAATTCAGTTAAGTTTTCTTGACTTTGCTTTCTGATTTTAATACCATTATTTACAAACTATGCCTTTGCCAGTGCAGACAACAAACGGAATAATTTACAAGACATTATCAGTACGAACACATTTTATCCAAATACCTTGAACTTTTACCTTTACCTTCAGTAAATAACACCCTTTCACCATTAGTGACAAAGCATTTTGCTTCAAAATATCCTTAAACCAAACAAAATCCATAAAACATATATGATAACGAACGACCCCCCAAAAAAAAAGAATAATAATAATAATAAAAAATAAATGAAAAATAACATAAAACCGCATTATTTCACACACAGACACCCTTAACCAACCTAAATTCCCTCAACCACACGATAACAAACGCATTCCCAAGCAAACCTCCTTTTCTTCCCAACTCAGCCGGACCTAACTTCCCTCCAGCACATGATTCCGCATTTCCAGCCAGCCCAATATTCCCTCAGCCACACACTGACGCATGTCCTAACCCCCGCCCCCCTTTCCTCCCGCCGCAGAGAGACGGACCCCAACCAGCACACCCTCGACACCCTGGAGCAGGCCATCGCGGTGCTGATCGAGCGGGCAGGAAGCGGCATCAGCGGAGGCGTGAATGGCGTCGCGGCTGACAAATCCTCGAGGCCGCAGAGTCACGACAAACGGCCTGTCAACGGTGGGTGCTTGGCAGGGCCCGGCAGGACGTGTGTGGGCGTGTCTCTGTCGTAGATCGTAGGGGGGGGAGTTTCTGAATACTGAGGAGATTGGCAGGAGGGAGGTGGTTTTTATCCGAGGGTTGGGTTTGGTATTAGAAAACGATGGTAAAGCACGTTAGTTCACGGTGTTTTTTTTTATTATTTTTGTTTTTTTTATAAAGTTGATTATATAAACTGATCAAAGTTATCAAATTATTTCGATTATGTGGCAACCCCTCCTATATAGAGGAAGAAAACATATTGTACGAATTTCTAGAAACTATGACAGAAAATTATGATTAGCTTATTTGATTTAAATCTTTATTTAAGTTCTCCCTTATGTATATTAATATTATTTTTATTTGGCAGGACTTTACGACCTAGTGTGTTTTATAAATTTTGTTTTAAAAGTTTTATGAATTGAGTTGTATTGGAAATTAGTAATGAAACGTAATGTTAATGGAGAACAGTTGTTTTAAAATATATATTTGTGGTAAAAATGCTTTGTGATTTCCTAGTGAATTGCATGTTATTATTATTTTTTTCTTTTGTTCTTTTTAATATTTTGTCTCATTTGATTAGTACTCAAGAATGGATATGATTTAGTTTTTTTCTTTTTCTTTTAGAATAGAATTTAAATGATTTCATTTGTTGCATTGGTGTTGGATCTGTTGCCTATCCCCCCCCCCTCATTCAATTCTCAGTGCTTGCTTTTCGCTGAATTATATATGTCGTTGAGTCCTACCTCCCTCTCCTTACCCAACTGCCCCCAACCCCAACCTCACCCCACCCCACCCCCTACTCCACCAAACTTTCCCCACTCTAACCCTACTTCCTGCACCCCACCCAACTACCCCACAACCCACCGCTTGACCCCCAACTTTCCGCCCCCCCTCCACCCAGTCCCCACCCCCACCCCACTTCCTCCAACCCACCACTTGACCCCCAACTTTCCCCCCCCCTCCACCCAGTCCCCACCCCCATCCAACTTCCTCCAACCCTCCCAACCCCTACCCCATTTACCCTCCCACCCCCACCCCCCTCCCCCCACCCCACTTCCTCCAACCTTCCCAACTACTCCCCCAACATCCATCCCACCCCCCAACCCCCCACTCCCATCCCACTTCCTCCAACCCTCCCAACCCCTACCCCATTTACCCTCCCCCCACCAACCCCCCAACCTCAGAACCCCCGAAATGACCCCATCCGTTCCTCGTTTCTAGGCATGATCGACTCAGCAACCAAGGTGATCTACTTCACCGAGCGGACTGTGACCCCTTTTATGTCTACGATAAACAGACGACTTGGAGACATTAGACTGCGGGACTTCAAGAGCATGTTTGACAGGCCGGGTCTCTTCCGGTTCCACTTCAAGAGCCATGACCCCGAGTACGGGATGGTGAAGGAGGAGGTGGGTTGTCGATCCTGGCCGACTGCGAGGGGGCCAAGTCTCTCTCGCTCTCTCTCGCTCTCTCGCTTTTTCGTTCTTTTTCTTTTTTCTCTCTCTCTTTCTCTTTTCCTTTCTTTCTTTCTTTATTTCTCTTTTTCTTTCGCTCTCTTTCTTTCTTTTTCTCTCTTTCTATCTCTCTCTTTTTCTTTCTCTCTCTTTCTTTCTCTCTCTATCTCTCTCTTTCTCTCTCTATCTCTCTCTTTCTCTCTCTCTCTCTCTCTCTCTCTCTCTCTCTCTCTCTCTCTCTCTCTCTCTCTCTCTCTCTCTCTCTCTCTCTCTCTCTCTCTCTCTCTCTCTCTCTCTCTCTCTCTCTCTCCCTCTCTCTCTTTATATGTTTGTATGTATCACTTCCACATATATGACCTCAGGACAGGAATCCCTGCTATGTTTTATTAATAATCTAATTAAATGCCAATGCTCTTCTAAAGCAAACATCAGATGCATATTCATTTCGGTGCTTCCACAGCATGCAATGCAGTTTTAATTAAATGTCTCTTGGTTTATGATGCGGCGTCGGAATGCATGAAGCAATTTCTTTCTCTTTCTCTCTCCCCTTCTTTCTCTTTCTCTCTCTTTCTCTCTCCCCTTCTCTCTCTTTCTCTCCCTCTCTCTCTCTCTCTCTCTCTCTCTCTCTCTCTCTCTCTCTCTCTCTCTCTCTCTCTCTCTCTCTCTCTCTCTCTCTCTCTCTCTCTCTCTCTCTCTCTCCCTCCCTCCCTCCCTCTCTCTCTCCCTCCCTCTCTCTCTCTCTCTCTCTCTCTCTCTCTCTCTCTCTCTCTCTCTCTCTCTCTCTCTCTCTCTCTCTCTCTTTCTCTCTCTCTCTCTCCTTCTTTCTCTCCTTCTCTCCTCTCCTTCTCTCCTCTCTTTCTCCTCTTTCTCCTTCTCCTCTTTCTCCTTCTCCTTCTCTCTCTCTCTATCTATCTATCTATCTATCTATCTATCTATCTCTCTCCCTCTCTTTTTCTCTCTCTTTCTCTCTCTTTCTCTCTCATCATCATTATCTCTCTCTCTTTCTCTCTCTCTTTCTCTCTCTCTCTCTCTCTCTCTCTCTCTCTCTCTCTCTCTCTCTCTCTCTCTCTCTCTCTCTCTCTCTCTCTCTCTCTCTCTCTCTCTCTCCTTCTCTCTTTCTCTTCTATTTCTCTTTGATGTTTTATATCCCGGGCGCTTTTGTTATCTGATGAATGAAAAGGTTTTGATATGAAAGGATTTATTTCGTGATTATTATTAGGAGTTATATTTTCCAAGTATATAAGGAAGAATATATATATATTTTTGTACTGCAAAGAACAATCAGATCTGGTTCATCCCCCTCCCTTCCCCAATATATTCCAAATAGATTAAGTCCATTTTGGGTTATATGCTAAAAAAAAGTCCACGAAAAAACAAAAGCAATAACAAAAACAACACAAGTTCCCCACCATTCGAGAGAAGAAAAAAAATCTCCCTCCATTTTTTTCGCCCTCTTTTTCATCCGCGTCCTAACCGCTAAAATTAATTCCCCGCAGATATTCAACGACGACGACATCCTGCCTGGAGTGGATGGGAAGATCATAGCCTGGGTGGAGGAGGACACCGAGTGAGGGCGAGGTACACTTTCTTGTATGAAGAAGGACTCACGGATTTGTAAAAATGTGGAAAATCGTGGTACACTTTGCCCCCCCGCTCGCTCGTTTTTTTGTTTTTTTAATGTGGTTTCGTGCCACGTACTCTTTAGCAAAATAATGGAGGATTTCTTTTTTATTATTTTATTTTGGTTGGTTCAGGATTTGTCACCCTCAAGTTAATGTGCTTCCTTGACCGTAGCCAGGATTCTAACCCTTGCGTTTCGAGATCCGACGCGTGTGTTACCACTGCGTTACCATCTCCTCCGCTTACTGATTTATTTATTATTTTTGTATCGTCATTTTCCCGATCGCTCATCAAAAAAAAATCTTTGGCTCCCCATTTGAATGCAGTTTTAGTTTGGGGTTGAAAGGTTTGTTGTTCACGTTCATTCATTTCGGCGCAGATTTATACACTTTCGTTGAATTCTCGCTGCATAAGATTTTTTGTTGCAGGAAGAAAGCTCACTGATTTTAAGATAACGTATTTATTTCATTTATCAGTGTAAGCTCCGGTTGACTGTTAAAATACGTGTACGAGGAGAAACTCGTATTCGTATTTATAAAGGTACATGTTTTATAAAGAAAATATTGCTGATAGATATTGCGGTTGACTATCGAGATACAGAAATGGGTCGGCTGACTGCTGGTTGACTGTCGACTTGCATGTCCTCAAACGAAAGGAGTCTCATTAATGTGAAAAGTAATTAATGTTTCACTCTTGAGGAATTATACGAAGAACACACCGATTTGTGAGTTCTGTAGTGCTGTTCAGCGATGAAAGCTGTGACTGAATGTACAGATACGAAAAAGATACAAAAAACGGACTTACTGATATTTGCATTTCGTCAAGAGCAAAACGCGATTAATGCAAAGAAACCAAACTACTATATGTTTACATTTTGGAAGAGAAACATTTTATTGTTTTTTTTATGCAGTTAAGACAAGAATGGTATTACCACAAGTACCTGGAGTCTTATAAAGATAGAGGCGAAAAAGAAAAACAACTGAAAGTCCTGTTTCCGCAGCACAAATACCTGTTCGTGTGGTAACTGGGAGATCGTGTGTATGCATTTCAATCGGTCGATTCACGGATTTGTTAATCAATATGTTTGTCGTTTAAAAAGACATGTGTATACACCGTAAGCCTTTATTTATAGTTTTTTTCTTAAGGATATTAAGTGTTATCCTTTATTAACTGCATTTGAATGTGCAAGGCAATGTATTACTTACAAATAAGGGTATGTTGTTATGTGTTAAGTGCAATAAATTGTACAAGTTAATAATTTTAAATATATTAATGATAGTTTGATTAGACTTTGTCAGCCACATTTGAATGAATAATTTATATTTAAAAAAATAAGTTAGTATGAGACTGATGGCGATGCAGTCACTGTATATATATAAGTATTATAGTAGGTTTATGTGAGGAAATTTATTGAAAACAGAGAGAGAAAAAAAACATGATAGACATGGTAGAACTTCCAAAAAACCAAAGATTTATACACTAATTAGTTTAAAGACAATTCCTATGTGTTGTTTTTACTACGGCTGACTGTCCCAAAGATTGACAAAAAAAAGCATTTTGTTCTCAACAAATATGCACTATTTGGGGAGACTCTCAACTAGCATATAAGGTTATACTGAACTGTAATTAGCTGTTGTTGTAAGCCTGATTGTTAACTAGCCTCTGACGCTGTACATAGTTCGTTTTGAGTTGGTTCTTAGAGGTCATAGGAAAAAAGCAAAATGAAAATTGAAAAGAAAAGAAGAGAGAAAAAAATAAATAAAGATAGAAATACATTCAAAATAT